ATCGTTTTTCGTATACAATGATACCTATCATTTCATTCAAATCTAACTTACCCAAGTCAGAGGTCCACCTCACCACATAATGTACAGCAGTCAGCAGAGTGAAACCCACTTTCCCGCTTTTTTAAATTTATGATGATACGATAACTTCCAATAATGCGTAYAATAATATTTGAACTTAAGAATAAATAAATAAATTTGTTTTTCATATTTAATGGTATTAAGTTGGTATTACAGTTGAAAGAAAATTATTGGGATTTTTATTTTATAATGTTGGCTGTGTTGAAATTGACAAAATCAAAAAAATTAATTTTTTGCTTATCACTCCGAGAGAACTGGCCGGGGTATCACCACTTCAACCATACGACGTCTTCTACCGTGTTATTGTTTAGTAATGTTGGCGGCACTGTAAATCGACGCTTTCTAGTTTCTGCATAATATTTTACAGTTCCACGAGTGTAGTACACAACGCCACAACTGCTTAATTTGCTCCATGAACCGTGACTCATCCTTCCCCGGCCACCGGCCTAGACCCATCCTGCTCGTCTGTGTAACGAACTAACGACCGTCGATCAGTGAATATCGGCCGCCATTTTCACGGTCGCCATATCCGCGCGGTCACCGATTCTCTATTTTCATTCTACGTTTTTTTAATCTGTACAGTTTCCGAACGAATTATTGTTGTCATGCGGTAAACCCTAACGCTCTGTATTTTGAGCATATAAAAGTGAATTTTCGTGTGTGGTAAGAACCAGATAAAGCAAACGCGGTATATTCACGATGAGCTACAGCAGACCGCCTCCTCGGATTGAGGGTATGGTATCCCTGAAAGTCGACAACCTCACCTACAGGACGACGCCCGAAGACTTGAGGAGAGTGTTCGAGAGATGTGGAGAAGTCGGAGACATCTACATTCCCCGTGATCGTTTTACGCGAGAGAGCAGAGGGTTCGCTTTTGTCAGGTACATATGGCATTGTTATTCTTAATAGTATAGTATATACAAAGATGCCCTTCCCTGCATCAAATTGGTTGTGCAAAAATGATTATAAAACTAAGCATTGAGCTCGATACAGATTATTATTCACCACCACGGGTAGAGAATCCCTGCTCGTCAGGTTGATGATCCCTTTGGTGGTAATATAATTATACGCTGTGATCCGTAACTTTGATCTTATCTGATTTGCATAATCTTGATGATATTCTTGTAGTACAGTTTCCGACAATTAATGTGCTAGTAAATGGTAATCATATTTTTTTTCTTTAGATTTTATGATAAACGTGATGCAGAAGATGCATTAGATGCAATGGATGGTCGCATGCTAGATGGTAGAGAATTACGTGTTCAGATGGCTCGCTATGGACGTCCAACTTCACCATATAGAAGACGACGCAGGAGGTATAATTTTCTGATAATATTAAATAAATTGTTTAGTTTTACAGCTTAATATTCAGCTTCTTCAAAACCAAATATGCAGCAAACCAAAACATCGTTTACATATCAACCCTTTCAATGTTGCTTGGCATAAACAAATTCAACTGTTAAATAATATTATATATATGTGTTTCTGTTGGTTCAACTAGTTTACTAAATATTGAATATTTAATTAATAATATATAGGTAAATTATTATTTTTTTATAATAACATTTCGATTTAAAAAATATATTGATATTTTTATGTCAAGCAACAATAAGACAAGATGGTAAAAATGGTAAACGGACAATTGGT